ATGGTGTCACTAAATAAGACCTAATTTCTGAGCTGCAGCTTGGGACAGCTGGAGGCTGACCAGCTGACTTGGGGTGGCAAGTATCTGCAGACATCTCAGTAACATACTGTCGTTCAGTTGTTTGCAAAGAGTTCTTCTGTAAAGGGAGGGGGAAGGAGAAAACTGCCCAGGCCATTTGGTCACTTGTTAAACACTCCTGTGCACTGGTCCCTGGAGGGGCATGAATGGAGGGTAGGCAACCCTGAGGCTGTCTCTAACCTTCAGAACTAGTGCGATAATAAATTGATGCTACCTATCATTTATGGAGCCAGGCTCTTTAGCACTCTAGACATGTTAATCCATTTAATCTTAACAAACACCTGATGAAGTGGGCACCAAGGTGATCCATGATGAGAAAACAGAGGCAGGGAGAAGATTAGCACCTTGCCCAAGGTCATGTGATTGGTAAGAGCAGAGCTATATTTGATCCAGGCATTCTGACCCTAGAACCCACACACTTAACCTCCATGTGGATGTGAGGCTGGAAGGTTCCTGGGACGGCCTGGTTAGAACATGAACAGAAAGGTAGAATGTGGTCGGTGCTTCTCAGATGAAGCAATGATTCCTGTTATCTAGGAATAGATAATAAACAGAGAAACAAGTGCTTTTATGCTATGGGGTGGGTGAGGTATCATTTCTCAGAGAACTTCATGTTTTGGTCAGTAGAATCATGGTTGGTGGCCCAGGAGGACTGAACCCCGAGGCAGAAGTATCCCCATTGATAGGGAAGATTGGACATGGTCAGACACCCTGTTGGCTTGGGGAGCTCAGTTTCAGAAGGTTGCCAAGATCATCTGAGGGCTGGGAAAAGGTTCAGAGCCTGGAATTGAAATCAGGTTCTTTCAATAGGAAGACTATGGGTGGTACTGAAGGATGTCTGTGTGACTCAGAGGGTCGTCTTGCTGAGCTCAGACTGAAAGAACCAAGGAAGACAAGAAGAGTCCCTTCTCAGGACACACACAACAGAGCGACAAGGATGAGTAAATAGTGTCAGGGGGTGAGAGCCCAGAATGAACTGAGGCTATTGAGGGGAGTGGAGGACAGCAAAGGTCTTTTAATACTGGATGGGAGCAAAAGAACAAGGGCTGCATAGATCCACTCACTGCCAGAACCACTGGTGTCTGTGGAGGGAGAAAGAGGAGGGAGCGGCTCTGCGTTGCCCAGCGATTGTCTGGACAGAGAACCAGCCTCCAGTTGCAAAGGGCATTGGTAGGTCCATGTAGGAAAGGGGGACAGAGGCAGCCCTGAGCAGCTGTGCATGTGGTCTCCTGACCCAGAACTCACTGTCCAGGGCCAGGAGTGACCCACACATCTGCAGAGGTCACCTGAGAGGAGTTGAGGACCATGGCAGAGGTGCATGTAGCCTGGAGCTGGATGAGGCTCAAAGTCTGATGTTGACCCTGGGAGAGAGCCTGCGATCTCTCGACAAGAGGAGATGAGCATTAAGAGCTGGCAGAGCGCGGCTTCCCTGGTGGCAGAGTGGTTGAGAGTCCGCCTGCCGATGCAGGGGACACGGGTTTGTGCCCCGGTCTGGGAGGATCCCACGTGCCGCGGAGCGGCTGGGCCCGTGAGCCATGGCC